ACCGAATAATGTCCTTTTAACACTCGGTGCAAACATGAAATAAAGATATTAAGCGCGTGCGAGTGTGTGTGACGACAAACCAATCGCGTGCCGCGAACTTCTCGTTGCGATCGGTCTGCTTATCGAAATTGTTATTGTTCTACGGGTAAACGCTCAATGGGTAGATCAGACGCGATGTAGCTGAAGTTAGATTTGGATTCGGATTTGCAAATATTACAGTCGACCAGTTCGTTACTTATCTTAATTAAAAAAACCCGAAAAAATTGTAAGGCAACTCTCAAAAACAAAACAAAGTAATAATTTAATTAGTCTTTGGCAATCTCGAAAAAGTCTGACTTGTCCCAGATATTCAACCAAACCATTAAAGAGCCACTTAGGAGAGCTTCAAAATGATGCACGGCTCAACCACCTTGAAATCGTGGGGAAGACATAAAACTACCTCCAATATTGAAATACAAAAAATTCCAATATATTTATTTCGCAATCTCAAAAAAATCTGACGTCCCAGATATTCAATTAGACCATTAAAGAGCCACTTAGGAGATTTTCAAAATGATGTATTGCTCAACCACCTCGAAACAGTCGGTAAGTAATAAAACTACCCCCAATAAAGAAATACAAAAAATTCCAATATATTTATTTCGCAATTAAAAAAAAACTGGCGTTGTCTCAGATATTCAATTAGACTGTTAAAGAGCCACTTAAGAGAGCTTCAAAATGATGTATCGGAAAGATAAAAAACTACCCCCAATAATGAAAGACCCAAAAGTTAAATATATTTATTTTGCAATCTCAAAAAAATATGACTTTGTCCCAGAGATTCAACTATACCATTAAAGATCGATATACTTATTTCGCAATCTCAAAAAAAATCTTACGTTGTCCCAGAAGTTCAACTACACCATTAAAGAGCCACTTAGGAGAGCTTCAAAATAACGTATTACTCAACCACCTCGAACAGGTCGGACAGATATAAAACTATCCCCAAATAATAAAATACCCAAAAGATCGATATATTTATTTTGCAATCTCAAAAAATATCTTACGTTGTCCCAAAGATTCAACCAGACCGTTAAAGAACCACTTAGGAGAGCTTCAAAATGATGTTTTTGGGAGTTCACTTACAAAATTTCCGTACTTACTTGCCCAGCATGTTCACAGGAATATGTTTTTTAATTAAGAAAAGTAACGAACTGGTCCACTGTATTTCGAATCCAAATATCTAACTTGAGCCATTTTCATATGAGTCGATCCCCCCCCCCCCCCCCCGGTCCTGCTCGTTTTAAATCGGTGACAACCTAGAAAACACCGAGTGGCAACACGGCCTCGTCTCAACTTCTCACAAAAAGTTAAAAAGTGTTAAACGAGGGGGGCAGGCGGCGGAGCGGGGTCGGCCGCGCGCGTAAAGAGCCGCCTCTCGTGCCCGGCTCTATTTGGAGGCGGCACACGCAAAAACCACATTAATGTTAACCGATTCAATCACATTGCATAACTATTTGGTACACAGTAATGATGGATGATTTCGGTTAATTGAGACGTCGGACTTTCGTTCTATATATACATCGGAAAGTTGGCGAATTTCTTTGTCTCGTTGGGGGGTGGGGGGGCCGTAGCGAATTATAAGCCATATAACGCATCAAAAATTATAATGTGTCAACATTTAAGAGTCATGATTCGTTATTCTGTTTGCATACAAATTTAAGAGTCATAGTAAATCAACTACAGCTTAATTTAAGAGTAATAGCTTGATGAAACGTTTCTGGAATATATTTTTTAGGTTTTATTTAGCCGCCATATTTAACATTATGTCTTCTTATATTAGGCGTTCGGCATAATCTTTACGATCTTTCTTTAATATTAATTTTATCTCTTAATATCGACGTTTTAGTATCTTCGTCTATGATTTAAAAAAGACTCAAATTAATAGAAATGAAATAAAACTTCACGCACAATCGTGGCTTTATCTAATCTTATATGATTCATCATAAAGGTTGGCTACAATTTTAAGAGTCATAATAGTCTAATCAATTTTGAATAATAGATTGGTCTGCCAATCAATAACAACGAAAAGTAAGGATCTATTGTTAAATTGACTACAGATTTAGAAGAACCATTTCCGGAATATAGGTATTTCTCCGCTTTTATTACATAACGTGATATTAGGCCCCATTTAACTAATATAGCTTACGCTTTGAAATAATTGACTGAAAATTTAAGAGTCACGAGAACATGTTTTATTTATTACAATGATTGATATATTAACTTAAACTTTAATAGTTTAAGTTGGTTAAGTATATTATTAATTTAGTAACTGAAATTAAAACTTTTAAATGACCGAACCGAGCAATTCCCTTTCGTTCTACCAATTTGTAGAAACGTCAAAGATGGATCCCGTTGTGACCGTTCCGAAAGCAATTTAATCGCCTCCCCGCCCAGCCACGTCGGAGGGGCGCGGGGGGGCGCAGACACAGGCCGTTTATTCGGTTACAGTTCGCGACCCGTACTTTTCGTTCGCGGTCGCCATAGCGACGACGCCGGCCGCCGCCGCCGGGACGCCCCCACCGTCGCGACGTCGCCCGTTCAATGGCGCTCCTAATCGAATTTTGCGCGAAAATGCCTAAAATGCCGGGCGGGTGGGGGGCAGCAGCCTTCGACCCCCCCCTCCCTATCGGATATTTAACTAGACAAGATAATGAGACCCTGAGGTTTTCGTTTTGTTGATCAACAATCCTGAATCACCGAATGAATCACATCTGATATATAGGGGCACTTATTGCTTCCTTTACAGAGGTCTACAAAATTAAACTTTTTGACAGATATTTTTATTTTGAAAAATGATTTTTTATAATTTTGGTCGGCTGATTTCAAAAATTCCAGGCATTTGTTTGTATCAGCTTTATCCAGCGTGCCAAATCACATTTAATTTCATAAAAATCAATTCATATAAAAATGTATAGGTATGTATATTAACAAAATAACAATATTAAGATATAGAGCGCTATAAAAGAGCGATAGAGCAAAAATATCGCGTTTTTTGGAAAAAGGGGCCCCAAGGATATACAAATAAGCAAACAGCTTTCAAGTATCAAAATCACTGCAGACCTATGATATTATTAAAGATGGCCGGGTCTTTATTCAGCACCTTGTCGCTATAATTAAGATGCACTAGTATTCTTGGAGAAGAAAATTATTACCGTCACAGCTGTGAGCTAATATCTACTGGGTTCGCACCGTTTGGACTAATTTAGGGCAATAAATAGAAAACTCAAAGAGTGACCTTCATTCGTAATATTATTAATGTTTATTATCAATTTATTTGTATTATTATAAGTATGACAAAATGGAACAGGAGAATTTTGTAAGGCAAATGAGTTTAGAGTGTCGCTTTTTTCATTTCTGATTAGTGGCAAACGATATTCCAGATATAAAAGGGTTAGTACTGTACTTTGTTCCCATTTTAAACTTTTTAGTTAGTTCACCTGCGAGGTTCCTCAGAGATTTTCAATAATTTATCAAAATCATAAGAATTGGTTATGTTGTGTTGCTTACTCTAAATGCGTAAGAGGTACGAGAAAAATACAAGAAACGTAATTTCTGCTTTAGATGAGACGAAAATATTTAATGCTGAACAGGATTGTCTTATTTATTTTTGCGAATCTCTGCCAGTAAACTTATTGAAATGTTTAAAATGTAAAAAAGTAAAGTACTAAAACCTCTTATTATGTGGAACATCCTTCGCCACTAATTATTAATAAATATAAAAAATAAAAATTTTATTTCTTCAATTTCGAAAAACCTTCTGTTTGTCAGAGAGCATTAACATTAGTATTTCAGTATTTCAGGCTGATAATATACTGTATTTATTCATTTTTATATATCTATTTATTAATAGGTTAGGGATACCAACAGCACTACAGTGTTCCAAACAGTATGCCCTAGTTGTAAAGTAAAGTAACTAACTAAAAAAATATCTAGATTATTACCAATGCCTCCAGATTTGTTCTACGAAAAGCTGAACTACCCAGAATTTTTCAGCTCCTGACAAGAACTTTACAAAGTAAAAGGTAACCATGGGTAATAATGGGTGTTTTTTTTTCAATGTATAGAACTTTAAGTTGGCATTAGTGTTCAAGATGGCGATCGATTTAACAGCTGTCAAGTGATTTATTCTCAGTTTGGTTTGGCAATTCATCATTAATAGACTCACGTCTGAACAACGCTTGCAAATGGGCCCAAAACGATGAGAGAGATTGCCGTTGTTCCCGATTTTCATAAGCGAATTTTGTTTAACGATGAGGCGCACTTTTGGTTGAATGGCTACGTCAACAAACAAAACTGCCGAATTTGGAGCGAAGCTGATTATTAAGTGTATGTCGAAACACCGTTACATCCAGAAAAATTGTCTGTTTGGTGCGATTTATGGGCTGGTGGAATCATTGGTCAAAAACAATGATGGCCAGAACGTTGCAGTCAATGGTGATCGGTGTAGAGCTATGATTACTAACTCTTTCATTCCTGAATTGAATAACCATGATGTCCAGGAGATGTGGTTTCAACAAGACGGCGCAACATGTCACACAGCTCGTGCCACAATCGATTTATTGAAAGACATAGGGGCACAAATGTTGGAAAAAGTAATCGAAAATTGGACGTCCAGATTGGACTACATCCGCGCCAGCCGTGGCGGTCATATGGCAGAAATCATATTTAAAATGTAATGCCACAAGATTATCTTTCGGATAAATAAAATTCATGTCAATCGAATAATCCATCTTTGTTTTATTGCAACTTAAAGTTCTATACATCGAAAAAAAACACCCTATATTAGGCCGCTTGCTTATAGTAGGAATTTACTATATTGCTTATATAAATAATAAAGAAGAGCACACTTTCAATGTTAATTGCCCACCAGACACGAACCATTGATTGAACGGTCTTGATTTGCTTTTGATTGCTTTCAAATGGGTTAAGGGTTGTCGTTTACAAAATTTAATACGTACCTTGGAAATAGCTCTTTGTGCGTAAGTAACTAACCGAGAGTCGCAGGATCGACAATCTGTCCAGCTTCGAGAGGATGTTCTGCTCGAAAGGTAGAAGACTGGCCAGGGTGTCCAGTTCCGCGTTGAGCCTCTCCCGGTGCCGTTTGCTGGGGTTGCTCTTGGTCACGCCGTCCTTGGGGGTAGGTTTCAAGCTGCGACCAAACCAAAAGACGAAAGTTTAAACGCCGGTTATGTAAACGGTCTGTTTTAGGGTTTTCAGAAAACGACCGTCAGGTATATACGGAGGGACAAACCTGCGGTGCGTGGCAGATGTGTTAATTAAAAAATGACGTTTATTTGGTGGTAGGTTAACGTTGCGTGGAAAATTGATGAGCCTGCGAGTTTGCCAGTCAATAAACAGACCATTTGTCATTATATTTCGTGCGTTGGGGGGGGGGGGGGGCTCGGTTTCGCGGTGGGGTGGTTTGACCGAAAATTGCCTGTTATTAGGAGAAAAATTCGACCGCATAAATATTTATACTCGTTTTTAAGCCGGCCGCGATTTTACGGGCTTTGTTCTTGTAATAACGATGCCTTGACCTTAATGCGTGTGCCCCGGCTATGATGGGGTGGGCTCTATACGAGGTGGTGCACCAGAAGATCAGATCAACTCTTAACTGGAATGGACACAGCAATGCAGCCATAAATTTAAAGGGGGACAAGTATTCTTTTATTTGCCCACACGTCAACTAATGATAGCTAAGTGTAGTCAGAGATTGTTTTATATTGTTTCCCAATTTGTTTACCGTTTGGATTTTTAAGGTTAAATTGTTTGTTGTCGTTTGATGCTCATGCTCATAAATAAACAATTTACGTGTAATAAAATCGAATGAAAAGGTCGATAATTTAAAAAAAATCCTATAAATTTGACATACGTATCATAAATATTCTCCCTGCTTTGTCGAAGGCTTCGGTTCCGACCCTCAGAGTTCCAAAAAGATCGCGCACCCTCGACGAGGCGTTGTTTTTGAATAGCCGAAAGGTTTTTAGGAACCCATCTTGAACTAACCTTATGCATATCTAAATCAGAAAGCTTAGTAATTTCTCATATTTCCTTGACCTTTAAACGTCGATCTTCCGTTATGACCTCCACTGGTCCACCAGTTCTTGAATCATCTTCAGGGGACTCCTTGCCCCATTCGAAAACGTTTTACCCATTCTTTCACTATCATGATGCTCGAGCTGCATCTATGTTAGGCCGGGAAATTTTGGCGCTAACCTCGTATAGCGCGATATGAACTATATTAATGGCATAAAATACACAGAGCGAAGAACGTATTGAACGGATCACTCCGATTTTGTCAATTTTGGATTCTGTCCCCCTTTTACCCCTAAATCAATTTGAAAATTCTTTTGTCTTGCAAAAACAAAAATAAATATTAAATTTCCAATATTGGGTAACTTTTTTCAAGTTCAAAAAACCTTTAAAAAAGTATAAAATTTTTATTGGGGATTAAAAGTAAATCATTGCCATTTTCTCCCTAAAAATAATTTCAATATTTTCTTCTGTACGCACTCGAAGCACACGAGTGGGTAGTAGGTAGTACTGATTTTGATGATAAAATTCAAGTATTATTCGTTTGGGGGTCTTTCCATGATGAAATGACAATGCAAAGTGAATAGCTTTGACTTTGTCGGATAAAGGAAACTGTGCGGGATCGGGAGAAAGTTTTGTTAAGTTTCGAATCTCCCTCGTATAAAAAATACGTCCCTCTTTTGCGGATTGACTGAAATTCGTTTTTAATTCGTTGCATACGTACGCGAAATCGACTTTGCCGTCGCTATTTCGCAGCGCCGTATCATTTGAATAAATTTATTTGAAGCAAATTACCGGGGTAATAATAAATCAACCTTAATTTCGATTATTTGGAGCCGGGTGCGATTTTCGAACGGGCCTTATGCAATATGCATGAAGGGGGTTGGGGGCTGGCTGGATTCCCTCTTTGCCGCGAGCGCGTTAGGTGGTTTTTGTGCGGTTAGAATGGAGAACGTGTACAATTCGTACCGTACGATTTCAGTAGCCGAGCGGTTGTACCGTTATGGAATTATGCTGCGTCTTTCGGCAACATATGTATATACATCGATGCTGTTATTATGTTTTTTTTCGACAACGCTCTAAACGATTTCAAACTGGTAAATGTACGGAGAGCGGGGCCAATTTGTAACACTCTCGCGGTACTGCCGGCGTGAGTGTCGGCACTAATGACACCAAATCGTTCCTAATAAGTAAAAACCGAACGTGTCATTAGCGATTTTTCGAAGATACCGTGGGACCGTTGCTGTCCTACATGTAAAATCCGTCTCGGATATTTCCGTTGATTTTTTAGTCGCAATTGAACAACACTTTTCCATGCTTGTAGGATTAAATTCCGGATTTAGCACTTTGCCCCTCTGAGTATGTATTATTCAAAGTATGTATATTTCAAAAAGCTCTCTTTCCATCCGCCAGCCTTTCTGGAAACCTGCTCATTGCGAATACGACCCACCCATGAAATTCGGAGAGTTCTTCTTAGTGACCACATTTCGAATGCCTCTAGGGTTCAGGTTTCCATGCTATAAAGTAATGTCGACCATACATACGATCATACTGCACCTTTCTATAACGGACCTTAAAACGAAAGTGATTGATTAGAGAGGAAAGGTTTGAACTTAATAAATGCTTGTCTTGCTTATTGGATTCGGCATTTTATTTCTTGTTGTGGATCCCAGGCTTTATGGATTCGTTATTAATATTTATAGTTCATTTATTTGCTGGCTGCCTGCTGATGATCATATGCTTAGTTTTCTAATAATAAGCTTCATTGTGAGATACAATATCCATTTACAAGACATTTAATTCGCTACTTGTAACATAAACAAATAAAAAAAGCAGTGAATGTATATCAACAAACAACAAAACAAAACAAAGGTGATAGATTAATATTACTCTAATTATAAATGTAGTTGAAAATGTATATTGTTTGAAACAGTTGGACTTCTAACCAAAAAGTTTGTGGAGTTTGTGGTTGGGTCCCCGGAGGAAAGTCAAAACCGATCTGCCATAAGAATGGAGAGCAGTGTATAAGAATTCTACATAATTTCGAATCGTCTGCCACATAGTGGCCCCATAGTGCGGCTTAACATAAATGAAGTAGAGCAGCGCCCTTAGTATCTGTTCGCTTGCAAACTCACTAGCATTCCGAAATACAAACCCCAACATTCTCAAAGCACTGTTACAAGTTTGATTGATATGGTCGGCGAATGGAAGCTTCGTATCAAATAACATTCCCAAATCTTTTCAGCCACCACATTGTTTTAGTTTTATATTGCCTAACCAATAGAAAAACCTGTTGAATTTTTTACAAAAACTTCCCCAGGCTACTGTAATAATTTTTACAAAACTTCTGGATTCCTCTTGCGTCGATTTTTGGTGAGTCGAACTTGTTAACGTTTCGCCAATCATCCTGTTGACTTCTTCAGAACTTCACTGAAACTGGCTCGCATTTTATTCTGTACCTGCGTACATATTGTTTGAGGGACGCGGAGGTAAAGACCTGAGTCGCGGTTAAGGTTGTTTATAGATTTAGTTTAGATTGTTTCGAGATTTTTGGACAAGTTGTAAATCTGGTTTTGACTTTATGTTTCTTTAGAACTTTTGATATATGCTCAGTGATGTTTTGATTGCAAGTAAGGACGACATATAGATGACGTAGGATCTTTTTTAAGTTGACGATATGATCCGTCCGTAAAAATATCTTGAATCATTTCCTGATATTCGTTTGTATTCATGACCACCTGTATCTGATTTTAGGATTACGATGTCGGTATTAGATTTTAGGGATTTTAGAGAGAGATTTTGCAATATTACATTTAGGAGGTTTTGATTTTTTAAGGATTTTTATGGTTTCAAATCGAATTTCATTAGCTGTTTCAGATGGCAGTTCATTTAGGCTAGACTTGACATTTGAAATGATTTCCTCGTTTGGGATAATACGTGGGGCAAGGCAAAGACGAACCTGTTGAATTGTTGAACTGAGGAGTCAACGATCTGAAGATTCCTTGAGGAAGGCAACAGTCATCTTGATTATATACAACTTCAGATATTTTTTACTGTATATGGTACTAATTATACCATTAAAAATGGAAAACATGAAGGGGCCCCGCTTCTGTCTTCGCACTTTGACGTATTACGTCAAGTACGACTTAAGGAAGCAATACTAGATTTGAATCAAATCCCATTTCCACAAGATTATGGAAAAAATAGAATGGTCAGTGTGCATCTACTTGAAGTCCACTGCTACTGAAGATTATTACGTTTGTTTAAGAAAAAATTGACTAAAAATAGCCTATATTATCCTACTCTTCATAAAGACAGGGGTTATCCTAACCTCTTTCCAGCTATTAAGAAATGAAAGAGTCTTAAGTGCAAGTTTAAAAAGATAGTTTGTTTTATTTCACGTTTCCTTTCAATCAATCAATATTTCTACTGTTATTTCTCAAGGCGAAGTTGACGTTTGGTAACTACTACTGAATCGAAAGACACTTTATCATTTCTAAAAAGAATTCGACATTAATGTTTTCCCATTCGAGAAAACTCAAATACCAATGAATCATTTTTTAGGAATGCATCTTCGCTTACAGGATGTGCAACTGTTGATCTTCTTTCTTTTGACATTAGGATAGCGTTCCATGGAAGCTTGGCGAGCACCGAGTAACATTTTTGGTACTACAACCTAAATATCAATACATATCTCAGTATTTTCATGGCTATCAATTAAAAGTCAAATTCGTATCCTCTAGGACTTTCCATCGACGTCTTAAATAAATGTTTTTGTCGAAGCTCAATCAGAATTTGGTATAGTATTCAAAATAAAAATGCCGAATTTCTCTTCGAATCCCATATGTGGTATTATTGTCGATTTTTGTAAAGATTCTTAACATATTTCAACATTTAAGTAAAACTACGATTACGTCTAAGACATTTTAAACTTGTCGGTTCACTGATAACAGATAATTTTTTTATTGGAACGAATGTCAAGCATTATTACTCTTGACACTATGGAACTTTAATGAGTCAATTAAAAGTATTTATGTATGTAGTAGGGTCATTATCTAGCTGAATTATTGCTCAAATTATATGGTTTTATGGGTTAATTTTCTACTTAATTCGACC